GGGGGTCGGTTTGTTCTCCCTAGTAACAAGCAATAGAGCAAGGGGAAATGGCCTTAAGTTGCACCAGGGGAGGTTCAGGCTGGATATTAGGAAGAATTTCTTTACTGAAAGGTTTGTCAGGCATTGGAACAGCCTGCCCAGGGATGTGGTGGAGTCACCATCCCTGGAGGTGTTTAAGAGACAAGTAGATGTTGTACTTAGAGACATGGTTTAGTGGTGTTGGTAGAGCTTGGACAAGTGTTGGACTTGATGATCTTGAAGGTCTCTTCCAACCGAAACTGTTCTGTGATTCTATGATTCTAAAGAGGTCTCTACAAATTGTACCTTGTAACTGTAACTTTTCAAAGACAATGGAAAAGAACATGCTAGTGCTGAAATTATTAAGGCACGGGACCAAGGCAAGTAAGATGTTTGGCCTGTTTTCTAAAGTAGCTGGAAAGGGAAAAAAGGGGGAAAAAAGGAAAAATTTATTTCCTCAGGCAGCAAAAAAAGAAAACATTGTTCCATTGGCATGAATGTATCCTGCTGCTCTACACCAGGAAATACCTTCTCAAACACCAAATAGTAGTAGGAAGTATGGAACTGATATCAATTTGCATATCATGCTTTCATTGCAGGAATATCAAATTGATATATTTTTTGCCCAGACGTGGACAGATAGCCGTCTTCGCTTCAACAGCACCATGAAAATACTGACTCTGAACAGCAACATGGTTGGCTTGATCTGGATCCCAGACACGATATTTCGTAACTCGAAGACAGCAGAGGCTCACTGGATCACAACCCCCAACCAGCTCCTCCGCATATGGAATGATGGCAAGATCTTGTACACCCTCAGGTAAGCACTTGGCAAGGTGCAGGGCTGAAAGCTTCTCCCACCTCTGATGTAGTAGTAGTAATTTTCAGCAGTATCTTTGTTCTCTGCTGTTTTCTTCCTGATGCTTACCTGACTGTGCTTGACAAATACTGAAATATTCAGGCGTAAGTACTGCTGAGTTTAAAAAACAAAGTCTCGTCTTTCTAAAAAAGAAACCTTGAGAATTGGAAATAGATCTGTCTAAATTGTAGAAGTTGGGCTTTTTAGTGCTTGTAATAAAATCAGGAGTATGTAGTCCCATAAAACCGGTCAGAATCTTTCTGATCAGAGTTATATGCAAGGCTGGATAAAGTATTTCTAGATTCATGCTAATGCCAATACTTGATTCTTCAAATAAGTCACGCTGATAGATAGTCTGTCACATCTCATCACAAGGGTGAATTGCTGAAGGAAAGGCTTTTAGAGTTTTTCTAATCTTTGTGATACCATCAACTGTAGGGTATTAGAAATACTGTACATATTTGCATAAAAAAAAGCCTGTGGAAATCAAAATATGTGTTTACTTATGGAAGAGATGAATTACTCAGAAGGGAGTTTTGCCATAAGCCATGTTCCACACAGCAACTATTTCAGAAATATCCTCTTCATGCTACGTTTTTTTCAGTAATTGTGTTGAGCCCTCTCAGTGCAACAGCATACCCTGATTATACTTTCAACTGCAGGTGGGCTCCAGTAAAAAGTCTTTGGCAAACAATAAGAAAGAAATTAAACAGCTGGAAAAACTACTGATATTTTTAGTGCCCTTCCCGTCTTACGCTTGCTCCACTGAGAAGAGCTCTTGCTTATTTCAGTAGCCTTTAACTAAAGACTTTGATGATTAGGATGTCAACTCCAAATACCCTCTTGGGTGGGTTGGTTTTTTTTTTTATTTGATTTTTCTATTAAGTCTTGTTTCAGTATTTCAGGGCAAGTATCTACCTAGTAGTAGTTACACTTACATACTTATCACTAAAGAAACTATTTGTGAATGGACTGCAAAATCTGTCTAAAACAGCTAAAAAAGGGGTAATACTTGACCAGTGGATTGTTTCAATGAGTATTTTTAGTTTGTGAAAGATGTTTTGAGTCCTTTTTGCCCACATTGGTCAGCCTCATTTTTACATAGGAAAAGCTGTTGGAATGATCATTGTTCATTGATAACACTGTGTAACTCAGAAACGATATATCTGACTTGAGCACACAGAACTGGTATGGCTTTAAAGCAGTAACTACTCTATGCCCTGGTACTGTCAGGTGTTAATAGCATGTTGCAGGCATGCAATTAATGTAGTGTCTGTTCCCGAAAAAGGCTGTATAGTAAATTAGCACTTAATGCGATATACCTGGGTAAATACATTTACTTTGTAAGATATCAGACTGAAGATTATCTCTTTTCAATACTAATTTTAAAATCAGCTCCATTCGTAGTGTCCTTTGTGATTCGTAGTGTCCATAAAACAAGCTTTCAAGTGGGGCTGAAGACATTTTTGCTGATCTGTTTGTTACATCTGTACAACTGAGAATGACATACAGAGAGTTATTTTTTGAGGGACAGCCTCTTGAGACCCCACCTGGAGTACTACATCCACCTCTGTGGCCCCCAGCATAAGAAAGACATGGAGCTGCTTAAGCAGGTCCAGAGGAGGGCCATGAAGATGATCAGGGGGCTGGAGCACCTCCCCTGTGAGGACAGGCTGATATTGCTGGGATTGTTCAGCCTGGAGAAGAGAAGGCTCCAGGGAGATCTTGTAGTGACCTTCCAGTACTTAAAGGGGGCCTGCAGGGAAGGTGGGGAGGGACTCTTCATCAGTGAGGGTAGTGATAGGAT